AGTGTAGTAGTAGTAGTAATATATATAGTAGTTTAGTAGTAGTAGTAGTAGTAGTATTAGTAGTAGTAGTAGTAGTAGTAGCATATTAGTTAGTAATAATAGTAGTAGTAGTATAGTAGTGAGTAGTAGTAGCAGTAGTATTAGTACTAGTACTAGTATTAGTAGTAGTAGTAGTAGTAGCAGTAGTAGTAGTAGCTAGTGTAGTAGTATTAGTACTAGTAGTATAGTAGTAGTAGTAGTAGTAGTAGTAATAGTAGTAGTAGTAGTAGTAGTAGTATTAGTAGTAGTAGTAGTAGTAGTAGTAAGTACTAGTAGTAGTAGCAGTAGTAGTAGTAGTAGTAGTACAAGTAGTAGTGTAGTAGTAGTAGTAGTAGTAGTTAGTAGTAGTAGTAGTAGTAGTAGTAGTAGTAGTAGTAGTAGTTAGTAGTAGTAGTAAGTAGTAGTAGTAGTAAGTAGGTAGTAGTAGTAGTAGTAGTAGTAGTAGTATAGTAGTAGTATTAGTAGTGAAGTAGTAGTAGTAGTATTATTTAAGTAACTAGTGATACTAGTAGTAGTAGTAGTAGTAGTAGTAGTATAGTGTACTAGTATACTATTAGTAAAAAACAAAGTAAAAGTAGTAAGTAGTAGTAGAAGTAGTGTAGTATATAGTAGTATTACTAGTAGTATTACTAGTAGTAGTAGTAGTAGTAGTACTAGTAAGTAGTAGTAGTAGTACTAGTAGTAGTAGTAGTAATACTAGTAGTAGTAGTATTAACTAGTAGTAGTACTAGTAGTAGTAGTAGTAGTACTAGTAGTAGTAGTAGTAATACTAGTAGTAGTATTAGTAGTAAGTAGTAGTAGTAGTAGTAGTAGTAGTATAGTAGTAGTAGTAGTAGTACTAGTAATACTAGTAGTAGTAGTAGTAGTAGTAGTAGTAGTAGTAGTAGTAGTAGTAGTAGTAGTAGTAGTAGTAGTAGTAGTAGTATAGTATAGTAGTAGTACTAGTAGTAGTCAGTAGTAGTAATACTAGTAGTAGTATTAGTAGCACAGCAGTAGTAGTAGTAGTAGTAGTAGTAGTAGTAGTAGTAGTAGTAGTAGTATCAGTAGTAGTAGTAGTAGTAGTAGTAGTAGTAGTAGTAGTAGTCGTAGTAGTAGTAGTAGTATAGTAGTAGTATTACTAGTAGTAGTAGCAGTAGTAGTAGTAATACAAGTAGTAGTAGTAGTAGTAGTAGTAGTAGTAGAAGTAGTAGTAGTAGTAGTATTACTAGTAGTAGTACTAGTAGTAGTAGTAGTAGTACTAGTAGTAGTAGTAGTAATACTAGTAGTAGTAGTAGTAGTAGTAGTAGTAGTAGTAGTAGTAGTAGTAGTAGTAGTAGTAGTAGTAGTAGTAGTAGTAGTAGTAGTAATAGTAGCAGTAGTAATAGTAATACTAGTAGTAGTAGTAGTAGTAGTAGTAGTAGTAGTAGTAGTAGTAGTAGTAGTAGTAGTAGTAGTAGTAGTAGTAGTAGTAGTAGTAGTAGTAGTAGTAAGTTAAGTTTGGTAATTCACCATCTTTTCTGAACGGTTCAACTTTCATAAGTTAGTTGCGTATCCTTTACAGGACCTTGCAGATCCAACTGCATCATTTTTTTTTGGCCGTTGCGATTTTTCCAGCAAACTTTACGTTCACTAGTTTGCCATTGCTTTCGAAATGGTCAGCTCTCGGTACCACTATAAAAAACCGCTGGGGTCGAACCCAGCAATCCGGCATTACGAAGCTCGTTCACAACACCTAAGCAACAGATGCCGACTCATATCATTGTCGAAATTAACGTAAAGCTGTCTGCTCCTAAATCTCCTGTAGCTAACTTCTAGTCCTAGCATCCTAGTACTATGAAACTATGTTCACAGTATCTTACTTAGTCGCTGACTAATAACAGATCAACATCGTCATCACCATCATCAATTTCCAGTTCTGTAGTTAAGCGTTGTGGGGAGCAACAGTTTGCAATCCTGTGCTTGATGGACAGCAATGGCTATTGTCATTCCGTGTCGATGTAGAAGCTCTTTAATGTCATCAATCCATATTCTCCTAGGGCGGCCTCTTGTTTTTTCTTCAGATCGTTTATGTGTAGCGCTTGCGTCGGTAGTTATTCTGGCTGCATTCTTACTACATGACCAAACCATTTGACCTTCTGTTTCTCAGTGAATTTGCTGCGTGTTGTTGTTCCTACAGATAATCGCTGGAAAAGATTGCAATATATTTAATAATTTTCTCACTGGAATATGAGGGTGCAGCAAAAACAAAAACAAAACTCAGAAAATATTATTAAAACAGCTCCATATAAAAAATAAATCTCTCACTGGAGCTAGCAATCTCAGCAGGAGATGCCATAGGTTGTTTTGGCACCCGTCAGAACTGTCCGCTCTTGTCGCGGGCAGGTCGACATCTAGCATTCCGCAGTCAGGATTCTGTGTGTGTGTGTGTTTATTTATTTTTTCAAACCTGATATATTTACCGTTTAACTCTTGTTAAATTTTCTGTTTCGCGTTAACTCGTGACTTAAATTTGTTTCTCAACCATTCGACAGTCAAGAATGGCCAAACGAGATAAGAAATTACGAATTGTTGGAAAGTATGGAAGCAGATTTGGTGCCTCGCTTAGAAAGACTGTCAAGAAGACGGAGGTTACACAACACAGCACCTACACATGCACCTTTTGTGGAAAGGAATCCATGAAGAGAAAGGCTGTTCCTAAACTGTTGCAGGTGGTGCGTGGGTTTGCTCGACAACAGCTGCTGCACAAGTACGAAGTGCTATTCGTCGTCTCAAGAAAATAAAGGACATTTAGATTTCCTGATCGTTCACATGTAGTAGAGTTATTGTGACATAATACTTCACAACAAATAAATCTCATAGTTAAAAGTATGGGGAAAAAATATTGTTTCAAAAACAAAAAAAAACAAAAAAAAATTGACAAAGTGGTGCAATTTTGTTTTTCTTCTGTGTTTGCAACATACCTGCTTTATTTAAGCAGGTCTGCTGAAACATCCAGCTTCGTTAGTATCACAGCTTTCTCAGTGCTCAGTCTCCAAATGCTCAGGTGACTGGCTGACACTTGGAGAATGGAGGGTGGTAGAGTCCCCAAGGACATCCTCTATGCTGAATTACAGATGGCTAGATATTGTCCTGGCCAACCTATACAACACTTTACAGATGTGTGCATAAATGATACACGTATTGAGGTAGATTTGTGGGAAGAAAATACCATGGATCCTGTTGAGTGGGAAAAAAAAACCAGGAAGGTAATAAGAAAAAAGGGGGAGGGGAATGATTGCAGACAGTTTAACATCTGAGCTGGCAACAACGATCTTGGAATCTCATGTTCTAATTTTGCAATACTTTTCTTGACACAGGCAGGTCCTGCTAGTCAAACTCGCCATCGTCATGGGTTGTGATTTCTATGCCTTCACTTAGCATGGTATACCACCATTGTCTGGAAAGACGGAAAGGTGAGACCATAAATGGTTAAGAAAGGGAGGCAGTCATAGACCTTGAAATGTGCAGCTGTAGTCGTACACCTAGTCATGGGCTTGTTATATAATGTAGTCTTTGATGAAGAAAATCGGAGCTTTTAAACTGAAATTCTACAGAAAAGTTCTTAGATTACAGTAAGCAAAGGACCCTTTTCCACGCCTTTAGGCGTATAGGACATATAGGGCTAGATCTATCTTTTATCGGCACTGTAAAGATGATGTGGTCAGCATCACGCCGGCCGCCTTTACTTTCCGTGACTGCACCCGGTACCCACTCAAGGTTGGGTCGACCTGGGAGCCGAAGTCATTTTTGAGAAAAGTCCGGCTCCGCCAGGGAGCGAATCCTCGACCTTCTGATCCCCGGCGAGCGTCTAGCCACTCCGCCACGGCAATTCTCAGATTACAGTGGACCAAATTTTATCAGTTTGAATTAGTCAAATTTAACTGCTACCTAAGGAGCTGACCTCTCCTGGATAACATTAGTTATAATTGTGGCTCCTGTTCGTGCTCTTATCTCATTATGCTTTTCTTAGTGTTGTAGTTCCCATGTCTGTCGAGCCAGGTCTTCTGTCTGTTGTTTGTAGGACCGTCAGCTGACTGATTGATTAGTTTAGTGCTCTTTATATTGCCGGATTATATGATCCTTGTCACCGGTTGCTGTCGTCTGTTTCATTTTTAGAATTTATCTGCTCTTGTGTTCGCTACGTTAAAGTCAGTCGCGTGGTTTGTTCCATCCTGCGATATCTTCTGTCGCGCTGAGCGTTTCTGTAACAACAGAAGGAGAACCAAAAAGGAGCGAGAGAAATTTTTTGGGAACCCGTTCCGGTTTGCCCGAGGTCTATTCGAGCAACCGAAGTCTGGGACTCTGGTTGTCAGTAAAGAGGAGCTTGAGTTACATTTACGCAAAATGTACTCTGACAAGAAGAGGAATGAGCCGCTCGATAACAATCCAGAGATCCTTAGCGGCCTCAAACAGCCTGTTGCCGAACGTTCCTTTTAAAATGATACCTCCACTTTGGTCTGAGGATGAGGAAATTGTGAAAAGAGCCAGCGGCAAGTCTGCTCCAGGTCCGAATGGTGTTCCGTACGTTCTTTAAAAGCGTTGTCCGAAAGTCCTACGAATGCTTCACGGCTTGTTGAGACAAGCGTGGAGCCGAAAACACATATTTCCAGAGAGGCAAAAGGCTAACGGGGTCTACATTCCCAAAGTGTAGGACCCAAAGAGTCTTTCCCAATTCAGGCCCATCTCCCCATCTCGCTGTTGAATGTTGAGGGCTAAATATTCTTCTCGGTCATGGCTCGCCGGCTCACGCAGTATCTGATGACGAACAAGTACATCGATACGAGTGTTCAAAAGGGTGGTATCCCGGGCGTTCCTGGGTGCCTTTAACACGCGACCATGATTTGGGAGTATATTCAGAGAGCCAAGCATGAGAGAACCGAATTGCACGTTATATGGTTGGACTTCGCCAACGCCTACGGGGCAGTTTCCCATAGGCTACTGTGGCAGGCCCTTCGCATGTTTCACGTACCGGCACAGATCAATGATATGATCGAGCAATATTTCTCTAAGTTCGCTTTGCGCTTCTCTACCTCGACGTTTACCACGAGGTGGACTGAGTTACAAGTTGGGATAGCTATTGTGTGTACGATCTCACCAATACTGTTCGTCATGGCCATGCAGATCATATTAGACGGGGCGCCGGCTACGGACAGGGCCTTCAAATTGGGGATCACTAGATGCCGCCACTACGCGCATTTATGGATGACACGACTATAATCACAGGCAGCGAGGAGACTGCCAGTACGATTCTGAAAAGATTGGACGCGGTGGTCCAATGGAGCGGGATGCAATTCAAACCGCAGAAGTCGAGGAGTCTGTCAATCCTCAAAGGCAATGTGTCGGCAACCAGTTTTACGGTGGCAAGGAATAAGATCCCCACGGTTCTGGAGGAACCGGTGAAGAGTCTTGGTCGTGTTTACGATTCAAAGTTATCTGATAGAGCGGATGTCCGGCGAATACACGAGTCACTGGCTACAGGCCTGCTCGCGATCGAGCGTAGCAGGCTGATCGGGAAGTTCAAGGTCTGGTGTCTCCAATTCATGTTGATTCCAAAGCTCCTCTGGCCGCTGTTAGTCTACGAAGTGACGATGACTGCAGTGGAGACAATGGAGAAAGAGATCAACACAGCCCTGAGAAAGAGGATTGGTGCACCGCCTTGTCTGACTGACGTGGCTCTGTATTGCAAGCAGGCTAAGCTGGTAATCCCGTTGTTGTTGTTGTTGTTGTTATCGATCCAGCGGCGCATGAGCTTTCGCCCTTTGGCCCAATGCCATGTAGTGGAATTTGCATGTTTTCACAAGCTGTTCTTTTCCTCCGTACAAGGTGTTCCACTTGTCTGGTCTCGGAGGGAGTAGCGTTCTTCTTGTCTCACTGAGTTTTGGGCACTCAAAGAGATGGTGTTCAACAGTTTCGTAGGGGTAGTTACATAGCTGGCACTCTGGGGAGTGTTGTGGCTGTATTCTGTTTAGGTGTCCATTGAGTGGAGTATGTTGCGTTCTAAGTCTGAAGATGGTGGCCTGGTCCCTTCTTGTTAGATGGTTAATGCTGTCATTAGGATCAGGGCCAGACATATGTCTATAAACCTCTCTTCCAGTGTCTCCCATGGCCCATCTGTTCAACCAAGTCTCTTTGTTTATAGCTCTTATAAGTGTTTTTGCTGTCTGGAGGGTTGTCGCTGTAGGTGGTTGTTCTTGTGTTGCTCCTTTCTTTGCCAATCTGTCAGCTCTGTCATTACCTGGTGTTCCGGAGTGACCTGGAATCCACTGCATCACTATTCTGATGTTGTATGAGGTAATAAGCTGATCGGCATCCAGGATTATCTTGGCTATGTCAGTTCTGCAGCGTTCATTGCCCTCCAGAGCTTGAAGGGCAGACATTGAATCTGTGAAGATGACAATATTTTGGACCTTTGAGGGGTAAACATCCATTACAGTCTTTAGGTGGTATACTGCTGTTTCCAGTGCAATTATTTCAGCTTCATAGTTTGAACAGAATTCCCCGCATGCATCAAAAATCTCTTCAACAGATCCATCGGGATAACCTATGTAGATTCCGTAACCTGCTTTAATGGTAGCTTTAAATGCTGATCCATCAGTATAGACATGTATCCATTCTTGGGGGTAAGAATCAACGGTCTTTAGTGATGAGTTCATAAGAGCGATTGGGTCGGACTGTTTGGTTTCCTCGCCTACCAATTTAGTTTGGACTTCTGGAGCTTTAAAGCGAGCATGTGGTGGTAGGTTTTTTGCAACATTCTGAATTCCTTGACGTCTTTCTGGGAGGTGGTATCTGTCCTGAATTTCATTAACACAGTGTAAAACCGATTTGTGCTTTATTCTTTGTTTGGGTTCCCAGTTTTCTACAAGATGTCTATTAGGATGGTTACGATTTTTCCTAACGCATCTTTCATAAATTTCTAAAGTGGCTTTTTCTCTCCGCAACCCGAGGGGTTCCACATTTGTATGGATTTCACATGCAGCAGTTGGTGTAGACTGCATAGCTCCGCAGATTAATCGGAGGGCATTATTTTGTACTCTGTCAAGAGTCTCTAGGTTAGTTTTGGAACAAGTTGTAAGCAGTGAGTTGTTGTACTCTATCACAGAGCGAACATATCCTAGGTATAAGCCCCTCAGAGTTTCCTTGTCTGATCCCCATGATGTACCTGCAAGTCTCTTTAATAACTGTAACCGCCTCAATGCCTTATTCCTGATGTTTTTAATATGGTTCTTGAGGCTGAGCTGCGGGTCAAGTGTGACTCCAAGGTATGTGGGATGCTCTTCTTTCATCACTTGGTGTTTGTCTAACCTCAGGTTAATATTCTTCCTTGCTACTTGGTGGCTTTTGGTAAAGATTGTGTAGACCGTCTTTGCACAGTTAATCTTGAGTTTCCATCTTTGGCAGTAATCATGCAGTCTTCTAAGGTCTCCATTCAGTCTTTGGGCTCCACTTTCCACATTTTCATGACTCTGCCATATTGCTAGGTCATCAGCGTACAAGGCTTTTTCGGCCTTGATTTGTTCTGGCAGGTCATTGATAAAGATTAGGAATAGTGTACAGCTCAATGATGAGCCTTGTGGCAAGCCCTCCTCCAAGACTTCTTTAGAAGAGATTGCGTTGTGCATCTTAGTCTGGATTGTTCTATCTATCAGGAAGTATTTCACCCAGTTATACAATCTGCCATGTATTCCTATGCTCATCATCTTCATCCCGTTCAAATCGATAACTGAAGAGTTTAAAGTCAGCAAAGTAAGA